CTATTCACTAAGATGGAGATCAGCTTATTGACCACAGAAGTGCCGAAGTGCCTTTTTTTTTTTGCCTATAGCTTTCCCAAAGGAGCCATGCAAATGGTATCAAATCGAGGAAGCACTGAGCTGAGAGAGATCATAGCCTTCGAAGTATTTAGAGAAGCCTCCCACTCCGTTTGCCATGCTCAGAAACAGCATGAAGCACAGAAAAAGTAGGAGTAAGATGTCAGTTTTCTTGCTGGAAGAAGATCAGTGTGGAATTCCACAGGGATGCGTTCATTCATGATGTGAGAAAGAGAACGAACACTGAAGTGACACAGTTTGCTAGGTTATTCACCATAACGAAGGCAAGGGTAACGACCAAAAAGATACAGAGGGCTTTTTCGGGGACTAGCGGCAAAGTAGCAGAACAAGTTAAGTTCCATGTCGATATACACAGTGTGATGAACACAGGAAGAAAAATGATGGCAGCTTAGTACATGTAATAGTATCTATGGAATTAGCTCTTACACTGAGAGCCTTGTTACTGGGTAGTGTTAGAAAGAATTATACAATATTTTTTTTCTATTTCCTTTGTATTCAAACCCTAAATATGTTATTAAAAGAAAAAGAAAAAAAAAGTAAAATAAAGAGAAGGCAGCCGAGGGCACTTGTTAGCCATTATATATACATCTGCCACTTGATTTTCAGTTTGAATGCTGTGTACAGACTCTCTGCACCTTAAGGCAGTACAGTAAAATGTAACGGTGCAGAGAAAGCATAGCAAAAGTCAGTAAGATTTAAAGAAAAGTGGTGAGGATAAAGGGAAGGCGGTACAGACTTCGTGCATGTATGCAGGGAAATTCGACTATGAAAAATGGGGAAGAGGAGCTGCAGATGAAATATATAAATGATAAGGTGCCTGCACTCCTATGCCTGTGCAGGGGTATCCGTAAATGACCAACCAAAATCATGCTAGCTTTTAAACAGCACTAAACTCGCTTGATTTTTTGTTGACACCACTGTCTCTACACTTACCAAATACACTTGTATATAAAAATACTTGCATACTGAAGCCATGTTTCTTTTCATGAAGGAAAACGAGGCTTTTCTTTGCACAAACATCATCCTTGAACACCCTCATATAACTTCTATTGAAGTTACTGTACATCTTTGAAATTCTGGGGAAATGATAAGCAAGTGGCACTGAACTGAATAACAAGGGAAGTTTTATACATCTGTAAGTCAGAAGTCAATAGCTTGGCACCCCCTTGGGCCTAATTTCTTGGATTTTGATAAGTCAATTATATTCAGTTAGTAGATTTACTCCCTCTACTGTTACATAATTAACACACTATGTCACTCTGTCGCATCCATTTATTTCCTATTTGATTTGTTTCTTTCTCACTTTTCAGACCACTCTGCCCTTATTGATCCACAATGAGTTGGAGAAAAAGTGAGACAAAGTTACAAATGTGCTTTCTAAGGTTTGTTTTGTTTTGTTTTGTTTTTTGTTTTAGTGGGATACTCATACAGATTCTTTATTAGAAAATGTAATTTTAGTCAGCACGGAATGCGTGCAAGCCCCTGAAATGCACAGGTTTACTACTGCTTAGACTTAGAGCACTCTTTACCTTCAGCTGAGGAAACTATACACTTTTAACTAGGAATGGTCAAGAGTTATTTTCAGGAGTGGTGGAAGAGGTGCTGGTTCAGAGAAAAACAGTATTGTGCTGGTTTTTATTTTGCTTGGTTTGCAAAATCTCTGATTTAGGTATGGTTCAATATGGCAGCATTTGCCACAATTGCCAATTGCGTGGACGTGCTTAGCTTGTTGTGGCAGCAATTGCTCTTAGAAATCTCCATCCATCTTTCCAGTCCATACCAGTATTTTATTTTGCCATAACAAAGATTTTGTTGAGTATATTTGCTTTTGTGTTGTTCAGTGACCAGTGCATGATGATTTTTCTTTGGCAACATGTTCCGTTTGACTGGGATAATTTCTAAAGCGGCACCATGCTTTGTACTTACTGTGACCCTTTGGTAATGGGTTGGTTGGACTAAACCATTGATATGTCCATTGCAAGACCGATTGCTGTTTGTACTATTGTATTTGTGAATCGAAGGTTATGGTTAGTACTGCGGTGAAGGGACCAGAAATTAAGTTCTGCGGCAGCTACAAATCAGAACCGGGTCACCTATAACAGCAGTTTTTCCCTCAGCTTCCCAGTTCTGCCTCTACATCTTGCATAACTTCAAATGTAGATTCCGCAAACATGAAAAGAAGCTCTTCTGGGTCTTTTGAATCCAATTCTGTTTTGAACTTATCTATTTACATAGTTTTCCAGCTTTGTCAGCCATTCTTTAATGGGGAAAAATTGAAAAGTGGGGAAACTACTGTTTATTCATAGTAAATCTATTAATATAACTCTTATTCGGCTACATTGTCTACTTAAGCAAACATGTGTTATCAGGAAGCTTTACGATAAGTAAGATACAAATAGGCTGAGCAGTAGGGGGGAGAGGACAACCTTTTATGTGTAGCTGTTTACATACATGTTTGGAAAACCGGAGGTTTAAGAGTGTGTAAATGATAAGGGTGTTTGATTCACTGTGTATTAATAAACCCAAGTAACCTAATCTGTCCACTTCTTTAAAGAAAATAGTCAAGTAATTTGAATAAAGCCTGCTACTTAAATTGCCGTTGAATTTACCAGCGGAGTCTGCAACAAACTAAAATCAGCTCAGGAATGCTAGAAATGTTTTACATTTTTCATGAAAATCTTCTAAACCAACTACATTAGATGCTCTTGTATTTTTGGTTTAAGTTGTAGTGTCTCAGTGGTTTTGGGTTTCCTGGCATAAATGAAAAATGTACAGACAGGGACAATGTAGTCTACTTTATTTACATAAATATGTTACAGTACTGCCTTTAGAAACCTCTTTTTATTTGTCCAAGCCATATCTTCAAAGGATGTTCAGAAGCGAGTACTTTACATGTCTTCCAAAGTTGTTTTTTTTTTAGGAATCAGACGAAGGGTGAAAGCGGTCACAGCTAATGGTCTTCTATAGGCAGAAGGGTTGCAGTGCAGCCTAGGCACTGGAACTGTTTAACAGCTCTCTAATATAGATCCGGAGAACGGACTCCTGCCGAGGACTGACTGCTTTCTCTGAGGAGGGTTCCACACACATTTCATGGATGGCAATTCTGTCTTAAATGTCCTTACTTCTAAACAGTGCTTCTTGCACCCCTTGCTGTGCCAGTGCAACTCATTCCACAGCTTAGTAGGAAAGTGAAGTGGGAAATGATACCTTTTTTTTTAAAAAAAAAAAAAAGCCAAAATCATAATATTTTTTTCAGTGGCAACACTTATCCTCAAAGTACATAGAGACCAAGATCATGTTAACCTAAATAATTTATCTCTGCTACATTATTTAAAAATACAGTATTTTCAAATGATAGAAGCATACATTAGATTCCTATTTTTAGGTAAAATTGTTATTTTAAGTGAAGCCATATTTCCATTTCCATAAATTTGAGATAGACATTCAGAAATGTTTTCTAACCTACTGTAGTCAATTCTGTTGGAAATAGATTCAGATCGTTTTCTTGTTTACTCTCCTTTTAATGGAAATGTTAGGTATAGTTATGCAGATCAATTAACGAGGTAGAAAGTGAAGCGTTCTGAGTAACAACACCATTATTGTAGTGGAAATCACTGCAGCAGCAAACATCCTAAATCACAGCTCCAAGCAGTGATTGAGCACCTGGTGGGAAGGCAGGGCCATCCCGGGGAAGCTCAGGTGCATGCAATGTTCCTGAGTGAGCAGAAGGGTGGAGCCAGGATCCACCCCTTCCCAGACCTCATTTAAGGGTTGGCAGCGCAGAGTAAGTTACTGTTAGGGATCTTTCCTTTGTTTCTGTGTCTGCTGCTGTTGTGTTTGAGCAAATCCTCGCTTGTGGCACCCTGTGACCTTGTTGCTCTGTTGTCATTGCTGCATTTTTCCATCGTGTTACACTTAAATTTTTTTCTTATTGGCCATTTGCAGTTGCTGCGGAAGTTCTTCTGGCTTACTGTGTACTTTAAGGATGCTTCACTTTGTGAAGAAGCTGTAACTTTAAATAAAAGCAGTGTTTGATTTATGCTGTTGTTTTGGAGGTATTGATTGATGCTCAGCTGAACGTGAGCCAGCAGCTTGCCCAGGTGGCTGAGAATGCCAAAGGCATCTTGGCTTGCATCAGTAATGCTGTTGCCAGCAGGAACAGGGAAGTGACCGTCTCCCTGTGCTGAGCTCTGATGAGGCTGCACCTCCAGTACTGTGTTCAGTTTTGGTCCCCTCATTGCAAGAAAGACATTGAGGCACTGGAAAGATATTGGGGCACTTCAAAGAGGGTCAACAATGTTAGAGAGGGGTCTGTAGCACAGGCCTTAAGAGGAGCAGCTGAAGGAGCTGGAATTGTTCAGTTTGGAGAAGAGGAGGCTCAGGGGAGACATTATTGGTCTCCATAACTACCTGAATGGTGGTTGCAGCAAGCTGGGGGTCGGCCTCTTCTGTCACGTAGCTAGTGATAGGTCTAGAGGGAATAGGTCTAGAGGGAATAGCTTCAAGCTGCACCAGGGGAGATTCAGGCTGGACATTAGGCAGTACTAGTTTTCTGAAAGAGCGGTCAGGCACTGGAACGGGCAGCCAAGGGAGGTGGTGGAGTCACAGACCCTGGAGTTGTTCAAGGAATGCTTGGATTTTGTGCTGAGGGGCATGGTTTAATGAGAACTATTGGTGATGGTTGGACTGGATGATCTTGTAGGTCTTGGTGTTTCTGTGATTCTGTGAAGTTCTCTGTAATGATTATCCTTTTTTTTTTTGGCATGAAGATTATGTGTGTAGAGCTCGTTGTATTGGATTTTATTGAGTATTTATCATGTCAATAGGTAATTATACCTGAACTTAATGGAAAGGTAGGGTAGTGAAAGGTCACAGTTGCGTGGAACTAATTTTATTTTCCTACCATGAAAAAGCGAACATCTGCTTATTTTCTTTTAAAGTGTGTGAACTGCAAAAAACAAACAGCAACTACAAAGAAAACCAACAAAGAAAAAACATCCAACAATGATTTGCACGTCGATCACCTTGGGTAAGTGTGCACTACTTTATTTCATGGTTTTGTTTTTACTTCTGTAGTCCTTACAGTTATAGAATTCCCAAGTATAAATTCAATGTCCAATTGTGATATATTTTTCCATATTTGATTTAATCTTGGCAAGAAACGTTGCAATGTCAGCCTGTTTTCCACGGATTTTGTTATTTTATTTCCTCATCCTATCTGAAACACTGATGTGAGGAAAAACAGGAATGGCAAATGAGTGGCTACAAATTGAGATTTCTGGTTTGTGATCTGCTGATCTGTATAGGACCGGAGTGAAGTAGTAAATCCTTTAAATGATCTCTTAATGTTACAAATAATAAAGTCCTACCCTACTATTTGGAATATGATCTCAGGACACGCTCTCAGAGAGTGATCTTGGCAGGGAACTGGTTGATCCCCGAGGTCCCTTGCACCCATTGCTGAGAGTCCCCAGAATCTTCAGCTATTCTGAGATTTTCAAAATGGAATGGAAACTTTTTGTCTTTGTTCAGTAGCAATGGTTTTTGTTTTATCCCAGTTAGTTTTTTCCATAAATTGCAGAACATATGATCTGGAAAACCTAATAACTTTCCGTGTTTTTTTTTTTTTTTTTTTTTTTTTCCTATTTTAATTTTTTTTACAGTAAGTACAATTTTTTTTTTCCTGTGGTTTTGTGTTTTCCTTTTTACAGTACATGTGGAACAATTTTTGCCATTAAGAATTTATGAGATAAATACTTTCTTGCCTATAGAGCTAATTGGTTTTACTTCTAAATAATCAGAAGGTATTGTCTTTGTTGCAGCTAAGAAGGAATTTCTTTTTTTCAGGTGTCCAGTATGAGGCCACGTTTTGGTTCTAGAAGAAGAACAATGTTGATAACATGCTGATGCTTTTAGTTGCAGCTGTCCAGTGTTGTTCAGAGCCAATACCAGTCTCAGCAAAGCATCCACGGAGCTGGGAGTGAATGGGGTAGCTGACTTAAAGTAGCCAAAAGGTATTCCATAGCACGTGACGTCACATGGAAAGAATTTTGAAGGTCATGAGTTATGAGTTCATTTTGCTCTCTTTCATTCATCAGGGACCTAGCTGAGCATCACTTGGGTGGTAGTTTAGCGGTAGTGGCAATTGCTTGCACATTACTTGCTATCTATGTTTGTATGTATACATGCGTGTATATATATTCATACCTATTAATCTTTTCTCTATCATCTCAGTACAAAGTTTTATCTCTATCCATGTGTGGTGGAAATGCTAAGTCAGAGCCTGAGGCAGTGATTGAGCACCTGTTGGGAAGACAGGGCCAACCCAGGGGAGCTCAGGTGCATGCAATGTTTCTGAGTAAGCAGAAGGGGTGGAGCCAGGATCCACCCCTTCCCAAACCTCATTTAAGGTTTGGCAGTGGAGGCAAGGGCATCTCTTGCTGGAGATCCCTGCCTACCTGAGGCTGTTTGAAGGTAAGCAGATCTTTCCCTTTATTTCTGCTTCTGTGGCTGTTTCATCAGGGCTCATCCTCATTCGCTTCAGCCAAAAACTTTGTCACTCTGCTATTGTTGCAGAACTTTCCATCCTGTAATAGCATTACGCCATGAGTTCTACTTCACTTTCTTGTTTTTTTGCAGTTCTCTCCCCCATTCCTCTGGGAAGGTGGGGGATAGAGTGCTTAGTCACCAGTGGGGTTAAACCACAGCTGGTATGCCTCACGGTATTTGCAGAAGGGTGTGTTAGTGGTCCTAGAAGCAACTCTTAAAAATAGGGAATATTGACTGTGGAAGTTGGTGAATCTACCAGGCGATTACACTGACTCTGCCTTAGTTACCATCACAGCAAAGGTGTGTTCAGCACGATGGCTGTTCAGAAAACACATTTAGAGAAAGGACTGCACAGAAATGTTGCAGTACCTTAAACTTTTTCTTTGAAGACAGGAGGTTTACTTTGGAAAATCTCCTTCAGTTGTTTGCAACTAAAATGACAGAAGAAGCTTTTGGGTTTCTGTGGGCTGTAACGGTTGCATCAGGTGGCATGAAGCAGCATCAGAACTCCAAGATGCTTTCTCTTGAGATTGTGGAGTGTTTGAACTTGGACGTAAGGAAGGAGAGTCTCATATTTTGTTGCAAGGAAACAGTTACTAGTGTAGCAATTATGATTAATTAAACACAGGTACTTTGTAGGCATAACAGTTAAGAACACGTTCCTAAGTAACGTATTGGCAAGGAAACTCTTTAGAAATGGCAGCTGGGTATTTTGAAAGTGAACCGTATATAAAATTCAGTAATGTGATTGCAGAGAAACTTGTCAGCAGAAGCTCAAGAAAAGGAGTCTGAATCTATTAATGTTTATCCTAACGGTAGTGGGCACACCTGAACACACAGAAGAAAAAAAAGCACATAGAGAAACCATGATGGAAAGTAGTGTTAAATCCCAGTAATGTGGAAATACAGGGAAAGAAATTAAAACACTCCTTGCACTCTTAATACAATACTCTGCAAGCCTAGTGTATCCTATTAGCCTAGTTTAATCCAAGTTGAGTTCTTCAGCCTTACTGTTAAATAGAAAAAAGTAGAACAACCAGCCCCAGAAAAACAGCTCTGTCAGACACACTACCACAGTTGTATAAAGTTTAATATGGCATAAGCATAATATTAGAACTTTTAATGATCATGGAAACAGGAGAAAACATAATAAGTCTGCATTTTAGGACAAGTCCATTAAACACAAGAAATTTTCTCAACAGAAATGCAGTATTTATTTCCTTTTGTAACCTGGATTTTACACAGCAAACATCACAGCAGCTAGAGTTCAACAGTAGAATATAACATTCTTACTACTAAAAGTATTCCCCATATGTTAAAAATAAATTCATTCAACTTACATCATCATTATTGCTGTTATGCTAAACAGTAAGCATGCATCCCCGTTTTCTTAAACATTGCCTGACTTGTCACAGAACTATGGAATTGTTACAATTGAAAGGGGACCCACAGAGGTCATCTCACCCCCTTTCCCCCCCATTTAACAGGGACCCTCACAGCTATCCCCTTTAACACTCTGTCACCTGCATTCTCCAGCCCAAGACACAGAGAAATAGTTTAATGCATACAAGTAGTTTTTGTCATTCACAAAAAAAAGGACAACAATCATTGAAAATTCTTGTGACTGAAATAACTTCTTCTTGCATTCACTCCATCTGCCGAGCAGCGCAGTTTCATGCCATCACTGTTTCTATTCCATGCTTCCCAAGGGCTTGTGCTTGAGGAGTTGAGTTCTGTGGAAAGATAGCATGCTGTGACAGCTACACAACTAGAGTAACTCTGGTTTTAGGGGGAAGACCAATCAGAAACCCAACAGGTTCAAGTACTTCACAATAGAACTGTTTTCTGTAGTAAGCTGTGTAAGTAGCAATTACAATTAGAGTTGAGAAAGAAAGACCTGCAGCACTAAGCATAGAAGGAAGGCTCTATCTGCTGTTGTAGCTTTAGGAAATCAGAAAGTAATTAAAGGAGTAGACAGGAACTGTCTGCTGTAGCACAAATTTATCACCTACCTTTGTTTTTAAGGGGATATAACAGGGAGAAAACCTCTCCTCATGCAATTATCTACCTAAGTGCTGAGCAGCACCAGCCCTCTTTCACTTAACACAGTGAAAGAAGCCGCTGAGACAACAGTCATAGCACTTCCTTTTCCCAGAAAAGGAATCCTGAAGTTATCTGATCCGTCAGCCTTGACATCAGATACCTCTTCAGCAGCTGATGAAGTTGCTCAGGGCTTTAGTCTGCTGAAATTCCAGTCTCCCCAGGTAACCCCATAGCTTTCTCCCTGTCCCGCAACCAGACAGCACAAGGGGAGGTGAGAAAATAACACCTGCTGTACTGGGCTCTGCTTTTTCCTTTTCCGAGCTTCCTGAGGTTCCCCCAGCTTGGCATCAAGTTCCTTTTAAGTGGCAGCTTCACCCTCTGGCAGTGCAACTGTTATGGCTTCATGTGCTGCAGGCTATTTCGAGAGACTGAGGGGCACTGGCAAAATTAGAACACAGTAGCATGAAGTGTCCAAGGTGACTGAACCAGAGTAGTGGTCTTATGCAGTCCGAATGGAAAAGGGAGTATTGCTTTTTGTATGCCATTGCTACAGTAAAGCGAGCATAGGGTGGCTGAAGCAGCAGCTCTCGGGCAAAAGCCGCATTTAAATATGATTGCAGAAGAGGCCGCCTCTAAAACCTCCAGCAAAGCAAAGAGCGCTTACCTAGAACTGGCAGAGCAGCAGCAGCGAGACGCTTCCAAACCGCAGGCTGGGTCTGGGGTATTTCCTGTCCTAGAGGCATAGGACTTGCTCCCCTCGAGCAGAAATGATAAGAGAACAGCAAACAGTCTCCTGGGGGACGCAGTTCCGAGCTCGGGTCTGAAAGAAAAGAACCGGAGCATTAACTCAGCTAATCGCCTTCTTTTTATCAGTGCTTCGCAGGCACGAATTTAAAAAGAAGTTTACTTGCAGAGGAAGAAAGGCCATTTCCTTCTCTTTACCAGCCCACGGTAAGACACATCTTACAGTCAGGTAAGATGCCTTTCAGTTAGAGATGGTACTTGCCTTTAGCCTTTCAGTAGTTAGAGATGGTACTTGCCTTTAGCCTTTCAGTAGTTAGAGATGGTACTTGCCTTTAGCCTTTCAGTAGTTAGAGATGGTACTTGCCTTTAGCCTTTCAGTAGTTAGAGATGGTACTTGCCTTTAGCCTTTCAGTAGTTAGAGATGGTACTTGCCTTTAGCCTTTCAGTAGTTAGAGATGGTACTTGCCTTTAGCCTTTCAGTAGTTAGAGATGGTACTTGCCTTTAGCCTTTCAGTAGTTAGAGATGGTACTTGCCTTTAGCCTTTCAGTAGTTAGAGATGGTACTTGCCTTTAGCCTTTCAGTTAGAGATGGTACTTGCCTTTAGCCTTTCAGTTAGAGATGGTACTTGCCTTTAGCCTTTCAGTTAGAGATGGTACTTGCCTTTAGCCTTTCAGTTAGAGATGGTACTTGCCTTTAGCCTTTCAGTTAGAGATGGTACTTGCCTTTAGCCTTTCAGTTAGAGATGGTACTTGCCTTTAGCCTTTCAGTTAGAGATGGTACTTGCCTTTAGCCTTTCAGTTAGAGATGGTACTTGCCTTTTAGTTAGTTTTCTAATAAATCAATTTTTCTTCAACTGCAATTCTAAGCTAACTGATAACTGTTTTACATTCAGAAACAGCAGGAAGTTTATCATGGGTAATCCCATGAAAAACTACCTTACATACAATAATTACAGCAGAGGAACTGCACTTACTCTGCTTTCAGAGGTGTTTTTGCGCTTGCTCAAAGACACCTGGAGATGAATTTTCAATTTTCAATTTTCTGTGAAATTTCATAATTTTCACAGAACCCTTCTAAGAAGGCCAAGTGTCTTGCAAGCATTTTTATTTTGCTTTAATGCATTAGTCAGACTTATCAGGGCTTTGAGCATTGGGTCTCAAATACATAAAGCCATAGAGCAAACTTAAACTAACTTTAAAGTACTACTTTCAGTTCCTCCCAGAAGCAGCCACCACCATCCAGGAGCCTCCAGCAGCACTCAGGTATCCCCGCTCCCATCAGGGGGGCCCCCAGAGGCCGGGGGGGCGAGGGAGGGAGGGAGGCAGGAGGGAGGCCCCGAGGGGCAGGGAGCAGGGGGAAGGGGGGAGGAGGGAGGGCGGCCCCGGGGGGCAGGGAGGCCCCCGGAGGCCGGGGGGCAGGGAGGGCGGAGGGAGGGCGGCCCCGGGGGCCGGAGGGAGGAGGAGGGAGGAGGGAGAGCGGTGCTGGGGGGGCGGGCCGCCATACGACGAAACCCACCCCCCCTCAAAAAAAAAAAAAAATATATCTCTTTAGAGATAGTGCAAATTTCGCGGTCTAGCAAACAAAAAAATCGAAAAAAACCCCCCCAAACAATCAGTGACCCCATCACAAACCACAGTGCAAACAAGACAACCAAAAAAAAAAACCAAGATGCAAGACAACTACCAAAAAAACACCAAAACTAAGATCACCACAAGACAAAAAAAATAAAGAGAACCAGAAACCAACTACAAAACACAATCTCAACAGAAAACAAGACAACCAAAAAAAAAATACCAAGATGCAACTACCAAAAACACCAAAACTAAGATCACCACAACACAAGAAAAATAAAGAGAACCAGAAACCAACTACAAAATACAATCTCAACAGAAAACAAGACAACCAAAAAAAAAAAAACCAAGATGCAAGACAACTACCAAAAACACCAAAACTAAGACCACCAGAAACCAACTACAAAATACAACAGAAAACAAGACAGGCAAAAAACAACAAGATGCAAGACAACTACCACAAAGCACAGCCCAAAACCACCAAAACTAAGATTGCCACAATACAACCTCAACAGAAAACAAGACAGCAAAAAAAAAAAAAAAAAACCCTAAAAAACACCAAGACACAACTATCACAGCCCCCCCTCAAAAAACCACTAACTACAATCTCTCCAGCAAACAAGACAGCCAAAAAAAACCCAAGATGCCAAGACGCAACTACCCCAAAGCACAGCCCCCCCAAAAAAACAAGATGACCACATGCTCAACAGCAAAGACAAAAAAAACCAAAAACCAAAACTAAGATGACTACGAAATCTCTCCAGCAAACGAGACAGCAAAAAAAAAAAGCCACCACAAACCAAAACCAAGATAACGATACCATCTCTCCACCTACACTGAACACAACGACTACCACAATGCTGATGCACCGATACAATCCATCTTTCGCTATGCTGCGAACTTACAGCACCTTACTCGAACAAGACACTCCTTCCTCCACCGCTTCAAAACAAACAGCTTTCATTTCAAATTGCTTCACTTAAGAAAAACGCTGAAAAAATAGAACAAAACCGTAACGCTTACTTGACAGCCTGGTCCAACCGGATGCGCTGCGATGCTGATGGTGCGTGTGACGATGATGATGTGACGCCCGTTACCGTACTTGGGCTAAAAGAAAACAAACGCGAATCGGTAAGAGACGCCGCGACTCCGGCGAGCTGCTCTAAGATATTCCCCACCCCAAAAAACCTAACCGAGACAAGTTCGTGACATCTCAGTCTAGAAATAGCTGTACTAACGAACCCGTCCCAGGAAGAGCAAGCTGCCTAGCTAGCCGAGCAAAAGGTAGCTTGCCTTCCTGTGGCGGATGTATTACTCGCCCGTATCAGCCTCGAACAGCCCCTTCGTGCGTTTAAGGAGCGCCGAGCAAACCCGCTAGAAAACGAACGACTGACTCACCAGTTGCTTGCGAGTCAGGACGCGCGCCGAGCGCGGGAACGGCTGTTACAGTCGTGGCTGAAACAAAACAAAAACGAGTTCACGGGGCTCAACAGGGACCCAGGAAAGGTCACAACAGTCTCACAGCTACCTTTCCTTCAGGGCGGCCGCCGGTCGCTCCCTGCTCGCTCCCACGCCTCGCGGCTCTTCGACGAGTTCCGCGAGGGCAGGGCTGGTGGCCTTCCTCAACGTCGTCAACTGCACCGCAACCTGCGAATCGCAGAGACAGCTCAGGGATGCAGGGCCCCTGAGAGGCCACCGGAGAAGAAGCAGCGATCTGGCACCCGGACCCTGAACTCCCACCGTAAGGGCAGTCGCGCTGCGCACGCTGTGCTCGCCGTGCTTCCCGATTCGTCAACCCCGTGCCTCCAGGAGGAGCGCGCTAGCGGGGCTGCGAAGGAAGCGCAACGCCGCACAGCCCGCCTGCGCACCCCCGACCGTAAGAGCCGAGTCTGTCTTCCGACGCCCGGCTTACGACTCCATCCCGAGGGCGCTCCGCGCTCGCCTCGCTCTCCGGGTCCATCTGCGCTTTAACGCCACCGGCATCCTCCCGCTGGCCCCAAACCTGCGGAAAGACAACCGCCGCGAACGGCGTCCCGAAGGAGGGCGGCGCCGGCAGCCCTGAGGCCGGGTGGCTCCAGTTCCTGGGCTCTGGGCGCCTGCCTTCTCTTTGTGAAGGAGACTACTCACAGCGAGAATCGGCCACCGTCTCGCGCCCCCTCCAGGGCTGATCCTTGCTTCTAGAGGTCCTGCTGCAGCCCGCCCCCGGCAGGAGGAGAAGATAACTGGAGAAAAAACAAACGAACTCGTTTGTAAGCAGCCCTTGTACGGCTTCTCATTCCCAGCAGACTGAGAGCTGGACCAAGCAGCGCTGCCCCTTCCCAGTCGCCTTCGTCGCTCAGAGTAGGAAGTAGCTTGAAAGCACCCACTAACCCCCCCACAGCCTTCCTCCCAAGGAGGAAAGTGGGAGCAGAGCAGAAGCACCGTGGAGACTTCAATAAAAGCAAAGGGAGCCCACCAATGGCCCTGCATTACCTCCAAAGCAGGCAGGATGCGAGTACATAAGCAGCCACGTGCGCTAGCTGGAGGGAAGGAAAAAAAAAAAAAAAAAAAAGAAAAGAAAAGCAGAATCATAATATTAAGACAAGCTCATGCTGGCTTAAAAAAAAAAAAAAAACCAAAAAAAAAACAACAAAAAACACCAAGGTCAGGGCCTTGCAGCACCGTCCCTGTGCAAGCCTTGGAAAAGCAGGGTAACTGCCTGGCAGCTTCTTGCTAGCGACAGGAAGCTCCGGGAGAAACCGGCAGAGGCTAAAAAGCTTTGGCCGGGTCCTGCCCCGGGCTCCGACTGAGTACGGCTGTGCCCAGACCATCCCAGCCTCACAGCACCTGGAGGTCATTTCTTCATTAGCACTGATGGGCCTCGTTAGGGCCAAGCAGGGAGCATCCAGGCAAGGATGTCCCCTCGGGCATCTAGGCTTGCAGCAGGATGGATATCTTCTTCCTGTGAAGAATACGGTGGGAAAAATAAAGAAAACAAAGTGAAGGGGGAATGATTCAGGATGAAGCTGCTGCCAGCAGACGGGGCTGCGGCACCCGCATCGCACCCCTGGGGTGACTCCGAGCACCCTGAAACTGTGTTTGGCCTCAGGGAGCTGAGCAGCAGCCCTGTGCTGATCCACCTCCCCCCCCCCCCCCCCCCAAAAAAAAAAAAAACAAAAAAAAAAACCGCAGTGGGAGCTGAACAGCAGCGCCATGCTGAAGCTGAACAGCAGGGGGAACCCGACAGTTGTCCCGCGTCGGCCCCGGACGAGCGGGGTGGGATCCCGGCAGCCTTCTCCGGAGGCTCGGAAAACCCCAGTGTATGTCATCCTCTGGCGCCAGCCCTCCCGCTGGAGGAGAGAGCGCGTGCCCCTGACCCCCGACACTCACAGTCTGCATAGTTTCTCTGGTGTCGGAGCTGCTCACGAGCTTCCATCGATCCTTGCTGCAAAAGCCCCGACTGCATTCTCACCCTGCAACAGGGAAGAAAAACAAAACAGAAGCTTGAAGTAAAAATCTCTAGATTAAAACCACACAATCAACCTGAACAAGAACCCGCAAGAACAGCATCTTGCAACCCTTCTTACCTACAGCAGGACCAGGGCTGGGCTGGAGGGCACAGCCTCATCCTGATTGCCTCTCCATCGAGGCGAGTAGCAGGAACTGCAGTGCCCACAAACCTCAGGCTGGTGCTTTGCCTCAAGAAATGAAGCAGCAATCCTGTGCCAACCCCCCAAACCAAGAAGAAGTAGAAACCAGACAAGAGTACCACGATGACTCCCAGAAAAAAAGGAGAACCCAGCTGTAGTTTCAAGCCAGGACCCTCCTTCCCCCCCCAAAAAAAAGGCAGAGGGAGAGCACAGGACCCTCCTTTCCCCTCCCCCCCAAAAAAAAGCAGAAGGAGAGCACAGGACCCTCCTTTCTCCCCCCAAAAAAAGCAGAGGAAGAGCACAGCAGCCTCTTGCAGCACACAGAGAGCCACAAAAGCACCCCCTATGGCTCCCAGTTGCCTCCAGTGGGGTTTAAGAGGCTTTCAGGCAGGCCCTGCCCACAGCTCCAAACAAGGTGCAGCTGTGCCCTGGCAGCCCGGCCCTGCAGCACCTGGGAGTCATTGCTTCGTTAGCACAGGTGGGCCTCGTTAGGGCCAGCCTGGAATACTGACAGCATCTGCAGAACCTTTGAGTTTTAGCTCATCCAAACAATGATGTCTCCATACATCTGCAAGCCTAGATGTTTATGCTTTGTCACTTTGCCATGAGGGATGTGGTGGCAGAGTTGGGATGAAGGGCGCGGGGTTAAGGATGAAGGATATGGGGCGCTCCTGTGCAGAGCCGTGGAGGTGGACTCGATGATCCTTGTGGGGTCCCTTTCAACTCGTGATATTCTCAGTGTTTCCAATAACCCATTCTTAATACCCATAAACTGTCCTCATCATCTCAGCTTGTCAGCATCTCTGTGGAAATTTTAATTTCATTGTTTTTCATACGTGCATTTGTTTATCCAATAAAACCTCCGCAATAGAATTTTGTCTTTGAAAACTGCATGTCAGCCTCTGTGTTATAGGTAGGACTCAGATTCTTTATCACTGGCAGAAAACCATTTCAGTTTCTTCTTTTAAAACTTACTTAGCTGGAATAAACCCAGACTATCAAGGATGACATTTTTGACGATGATATTTAGAGAAACTCCAGGAGAATAGCCCTGATAAAATGGAGACAATTTGTCACAGACACAGGCAAGCATCTGTATTAAATAGAAAATGACGTGTGGATTTGCCCATACGATTTATCGTCTCCTGTTATCATTATAGAAGTGACAACACCTTTGCAAACATTTCCTACTTGTATGCACACAGCTCAGCGTTCTTCCGTGAGCCTTGCATTTTGAGCACTGCGGCCTCAAAATTTTTAGGTGGACGTCATTCCAATGAAGAGGAACTGAGAACTGACATGGCTGCTGCAGCCACCCCCTCTTGCCCCCTGGCTGCGGCGGTGCTGTTGCAGAGAATAAAGGGACTCTATTCTGCTTATGGATCGGGCAGGAAAAGCGGCTGTTTCAGTTGGTTTGCAGGTGTTGTGTGCTGCCAGCAGGCCACAAAGTGTCTATAAAACAACACGTGGGGTAGGTGGAAGTGCATGGTATTGTGACTGTCTTTTTCTATCCTATTCTAAGCTGCTAAGCAATGTGACCCGTTGATACTGATCACCAACTAAGTAGTGTAGTTTCAGGCTGAAAATCGGCAGGTAAAATGATGCGACTGTTCTCCCTAGCCCCTAGGCTACTTCTGCTCTTTCAGCTCTTGGAAATGATGGTCAGTTAGTGTCACTTAAACACGTGTACGTTGCAGGTGTGCAGCCAGAACATTATTGTGTGGATCGGGCCTGTGATAGAGGTGCAAAGCAAGAAATAATTGCAAACTTGTGCTGAGATGACGCGGGATGTGGCAGCTGCATCTCAGATGCTTCCGTCTTGTTCAAACTCCCCTCGCATGGCACTTGCTAAATTGAGGCACTGTTTTTGTCTGTTCTCAAGTATGAAAGAAGCCCACGCTCCAAATGCTGCGTGAAGTGCACCCAGCTTTCCAGATCGCCACTGGCTTTTTGGTGTATTTATTCAAGGACAAAAATACCAAAAGCTTACAGACTAGATAGAAATATAAATGAAAAAAATATGTGACTAACATTGAGGGTATGGCACCCCACATGTTTTCCGGTTTTGTGTGGCACACGTCACCTTAGAGCATTGGCTTTTTCAGACAGCAGAGTGGAAGGGCTTGCTTGGTCAGCAGTGCCTTCTGAAAGGATGGATATTTGGGAAATGAATGAGCTTTATTGATTCAAGTAATGCAGATCCTGTTCGTGCCAACTCGAGGCAGCAAGACTCATTATGTTTCAAAAAAGTAATTTTTTTCCTTACTCAAACTGTTTATTTCACTACAAAAAAAATCATCGTTCACTGCTTTATAGTAAAAGAAAATGTTTATGTTCATAGTCAGAACTATCTGTTACTTGTGAAAAATGAAAACTGGAGCACCTGCTATAACTGTTACACAAAGAATTAGCAGAAGCGAGCAATGGCTGGCTTAGCGTCATCGAGATTTGCTGCAAAGATCAAAGGCTGCTGTCAGAGTACTAATGTATTGATTATGGTCAATTTTTCCCCCCAAAATTTATTTGCCAGATATCTGACACCGCATTTGAAGCCATCTCATTTCAAAAGCTACTGAGCAAATTCAGATTTCCCCAAGTCAGGGAGCTCTGATTTTAGATGCCCAAACTGCGAAGCTAAGGATGTAATTAGACAAGTTCTTGGTTGTGAGTAGTGTGACTTGAAAAGAGATGCTTGTTTAAATGAAGTTAAAGATGCACCTTATTATTCACTGGAACGGGCTTCTAAAGCTATGAGCTAACATGTTTGTTCCTCCTCCTTGGTCCTGACATTAATAATTAAATAAGAAAAAGAAACGATTAATACAAGTTCTAATAATTTTTTATTCCATTTCAGTGAACCAACACACGCCTTTGTGAAACGAGAAGCAGCAGTTAATACCGAACATTATTATGTGCCATCTAGTCTAACGTGGCGACAGAGAAGCACGCGAGATTCTTTGGTGTTGCTTTTGCTATTTGAAGATTGATTTACTCTGCGACGTCTCTGAAACAAATATGTCTGATATTGCATACAATTTTCAGATTTATCACTCTACTGCTGTCTCATGTGACATTCTGGTCTACAGCAGTTAAAGAACACAGTAATATTGACTTTAGCTGCAGAAGCAATAGTAAAAATTGTACATGACATTGGAGGTACAGAAATGAAATGCACACATCTCAAACCCGTTCATTTTCTGAAACACAAGGTTGGCATCAGCACACGTGCAAGAGATTGCTGGCATGTCATCTTGCACTCCAAGCGAAACCCTGGTTACAGAGGAGTTTGTTCACTGTCGCTTTAGAGCTTACATTATTCATCCCATTGGAAATCACAGCAGTGTTCCCCTTACAGTCTTACCAGTACAATTATATGAACGCTAGAGTGCAAAATCTTCTCAGAGGCCTGTTTTTGTATCTTGGAACACTGAATGCCTTGGTTACTGTTGTTTAGAGTTAATGACAACAGCAAAAGTCAGGTGTAAGACTTGGAAGGCCAGCAAGTATGTTTGCTTTCTAGCATCTGGCTCACTAAGAAGGGAGTCACCGCTGAATATATTAAATACAATAAGTTAGGTCACTGGCTATGTAGTTACATAGGAAAAACAGATGATAATGAACCAGAGAGGACAGAAGCAGCAGAAAATAATCAGAGATGGCAGAACCCTACGTTCGACCGAGGATGAAGCCTCCCCTGTTTTTCAGGAACAGAGTCTTTAATGAACATTCTGTTACTCTCTGGCTCAAACCGCACGCTTGGATAGCAGGCCGGCTTCAGAAACTGCGGGTGGGCAAATCCCATGCTGGTCACCGTGCCATGCCACCTGCTAGCTGAGCTGGTCCTCAGTGTAGGAATTTTCTTCAGAACAGTGAGCTGATTGCGGGTGGTTCTGTCCTGATGCTTGGTTCTGGAGGAAAACCTCTGCCTGAGGAACTTCTGCCTTCTCCCAAGATATCCTGCTTTGTAAAGAACAGTGTAGCTCAATTTGTCTACATTTGAAGTTCAGAAACCAAAAGGGAGGGAGAGGAGAACATCTTTTAATAAGGGAAAATGAATAACTACAGAAAGAATGTATTTAGGTCTAAAATGTGAGGAGGATCTTGCAGTCTGAGCTGTAACATAAAAATCACATAAAACACAAAACAAACAATAACCACCATTAAAAGTGCAACTGCAGGTCCTGTAACAAACGATACAGTTTTCTGAAGCTATCTTCCAGGGTGACATCTTACCCACAGGAAGGCTTTCGGAATAGGACCTGCAGAAGACATCCATCTGTGAGGTTTTAGAAGAATCTCTGCTGAAGAAACAAGTGACACATAATGGCTAAAGCTTTATTTTAGTGAATAAATTATAAAGCCAGCTGTGGGTATTCATCCTTTTAAACACAGATTCGTTAGGGTTCATACACATTTTAATCTGCAATGAAAATCTCAACGTGCTCTAAGTGCTGCCAGAGGCGAAATTATATGTTTTGGCATCTAGCACCTTGCGTTTTGACATTCAGGTGATTACGCTACTGCTGAGGGAAAATCCAAAATTTTATCACTGAAGTTTATAAGCGAGCGATCTCCTCCCAGCTACGTGATCAGTCCACGTAATTATGTTTATATAAGAAATTTGAATAAAAGATAGTTTGATCTTCTAGTCATATTACCTCCAGGGCTGGTGGAAAGCTGAGGTCTCGTAGTGCTTACCGTCGCCTCCAGAAGAGAGCTGCCACGTGCAGGTAGCGCAAAAATTCAGCGGCTACCGCTATTTCAGTTCAGTTGTTTTTCCTCCTGCTGGTATCCGTGGTTGCAGATCAAGGTTCAGGGCCTCATGAAGCAGGCAGCCGACTCCGCTAATCCCACTTGATCCTGCTGCCAGATCCTCCAGTGCTGGATCTGAAAGAAAGCTTTTTTTCTGTGCCTGAACTAATCTAGACAAAGACAAATACAAAAGCTGCCTAGTGGCTACCATATAAACATACAAAAAGCCTGATGACCTAATGTACAAGGGTTCGGTTATTTGGTATAACTAAGGAGACAAGATGCCAAGAAAATAACTGCCAGAAAGTTTCCCTTCGATGCACTTATGATAGAAATTTCTCAACAGCTTCGAGGAACTCTGTAGATGAGCTAAGCCCTTCCAAATCCAGCAGATTGTTCTTTTTGTCATGGAAGTGGAATAATTCAGTCTCTTCCTCTTCAGGTTCCTCTTGAAATAGGTTTGTCTCTGAGGTAGGAATGATAATGATTCGAGGGACTGTATTACTAACAATAGAGTCCAAGCCTCCATTATTATGACTTTCTTGAGTTTCCATCTGCGAGGTGTCTGAGCCTGCTTCTAGGCTGATGCTGCCGCTGTTCAAACCGACAGGCAGAGAGGCTGCTCGGAGGGAGCTGGTCACGAGTGCTACGGGGGAGCTGAGGAAGGCTGACGGCCCCAGAACCTTCTCCAGGCAGCTGGATGACAGCGAAACCTAGAGCAGAGGGAAAAGCATCAGTGTCACTGCAAATCAGTACTTGGAATATTCAGTGCTGCTACTCACTACATCAGACGCTCATCCTATTTTCTAAATGGTTGAATCACTGACTACAAAGGAGGAAAATCACAATGCGTTACCATCTACAGCTTGGAAAGCAAAATGTTAAATGAAGCAAAAGAAGATGTGATCAAACACCGGCAAAGACCGACAAGAAAAGAAAACCCCGGTCCCCCTTTACCTCTCTAGCCAGCACACTGCTGTTATTGCCAGCCATTCTGCATAACATATTGTGCTGCAATCTCGTTGCGCAGAGAAAAAAAAACAAAACAAAAAACAAACAGAGAAGATGCATCTGTTTTCACTCAATTTTTGTGGTTTTGCAAGGAAAAGAACGATCAGCCTTTTCAGTGTGTGTTTCTCTGTCAAGCTGGGTGTGAGTTTAAATACCGACACGTACTGCTGCACGATGCCCTACTCTACAGGCACTAATCCTTCACAAATCTCTGCCGATAATGATTTCTTTCCCTGCTGTGCCTTCCCCAGTGCAGAGAATAACAATGTGCTAAAAAACAGTGGTTTCAGTAAACCTGACAGAGAAGAAATGCCTTTTATTTCAAATCAAGACTGTGGAAGAATGAAAGAATAATTTAAAATCCCTCTGGTCTCTGCTGTTTTTAACTGCTTGTGGCTTAGTGGGCGTGACAGCACATTCGCTAGTTTTCCTCTAGACAGGACTTTGCTAGTTGAGCATTGGGATGACCAGCGTGGGCTTGGTTGCAACTCCTGCTGGTTGCAGAGTGGCAAGGAGTGAAGAGAGAACAGATCTTGGCGCTTGTTCCTCTGAGCGACAGCCAATCCCTCGCTGCCCTGCGCTGCCCTGCTGGTGGTGGTCATAGCGGTGCCTGCAGACACTCAGCTTTCTCCACAGCTGAGGCGCTTGTACATGACGGTGTTTAAAAGACCACCAAACAACATTTGTACCTTCCCTTTAGCCCTGTTGTGAGATGACTTCTCCGAGCAGGTGTGAGCCACCTTTCCTCTGTCACAGACATTTCCGGAGGGCACGCCTCCAGGAGGTCAGAGTTGGCAGCCCTCATTTCACGCTGCGTAGTTCCCTTGGTACGCACGCTGGGTGCACAGAGCACGCTTGGCAACTCTCCTTTGAAACCAAGTGTTCCAATCTACCTTATACTTACAACAGATGCCTGCATTTCGATGCTTGCAAAAAGGCCTCCTCACAGCCGTGTTAGGTTTCCCAGTGTCAGCTGACAGGATGTCTGCTACTATTCTAATTGCAATTAGCCGTGGGGTTGCTTGTAACTTTGTGACAGAAAAGGATCCCACGTGTTTCTATGCTTTCTATGCCCCAGACCTGGAACAGCGAATAGTGTTTTACTTACACTTGAGGGACGTTTTTTCTTTCTTTGTGGCTTTGAGGTTATTTTTTTGGTAACTCAGCTGCAAACGCGCATTAAAGAATGACTTCAGTCCATGAAGAGTTTAGAGTTACATGAATTCCTTAGGTGCTGATGAGATGGTCTTATTGAAGAAAAAGTTTAAGATGCTTTTCATAAAACACGCCTCTTGTTTTCCCTGTTTTCTCTATGCCTTCAACAGAATTGGGCTGCTGATGCAGGGCAAGAGAGGTATGCAGGACTTCTGAATCCGTGTCGCTTGCCACCACAACTGAAGCGGAGGCCTAGCACAATCCTTTCACAGCAAGAAGCTATCCTGTGGCAAGAACAAAAAACTGGACACTCCATCCTAAAGTCAGTTTAGGTCAATATTGCCAAAAACGAGTAATTAGCAGCCATGGTGTAGACGGTCCGTGAGACTTGTGTTTGATCTCTTCAGTAATTATTATCCCCAGAGAATAAAAGATGTGCTGAGGCTGCGGTAATTCATCCTATCCCTTGACTTGCGAGGAGTGAGACCTGAAAGCTTTACCTCAGCCTGTCTCACCCGTGGGAAATTTTTTACCAGAACAGAAAGAGGAAGAGGAAGTGCAGAGGGTCGGCAGAATGAGGTTGCTCCTGCTGCCTGCGTAGCACAAGTTTTCACAAAGATGTCAGTTGTGCAGAGTAGAAGCACTTATCTTTCATAGGATCAGGACTTGGCTTAACGTAACAGCTCTGCCACTCCTCCCTGAGAATGAAAAATGCTATGAGGTGCCTGTGCTTTTGCAACGGCACCATCCCTGCTGCACTTCCTACGTTGCTGTTCTCAATCGATGCTACTCACAACAACCACAGGGAAGGACTGAGGTTTCCCAGGACTTGATCTCAAGGAGGCACAGGAAGGAAGTCAGGGCAGATGCATGCAGGAACCGTGCCGTCAGGTGGTTGGAGATTTCTGGAATAGGTTCTGCTTTAAGCTATGCTGTCTCTGCCGCACCGATCTCTACACGTGAGCTGCTCCATGAAAAAGCAGGTGGCACCGTGACCGGTTGTTGGCAGTGTACTGTGTGCCCTAATTCTTTCTTGCTGAAAATACAGCACTGACATAGGCTTGATGTTGTACCTCCCTACAAATATTCATCTTGAAACTGGTTGCACAGCAGTTCCAGAAGCTGACCTACTGCTCCCATCCTTAGCAGTTACGCCGAGAATGGGGAGGGGAGCTCCTCGCAGCATAGCCCCAGACCTCAGAGGTTTGGGTAAGTGGTATAATGCATCCACAGAAGATGCTCTGAGTACTCACCATCTCCTCTTTCAGTGAGGGAAGGGTGGCATCTGCCAGACTCTCCCACCCTTAGGGAGAAATGGGAGTTTCTTTCTCGTCTTCCCCCTCAACAAAAATAAAACATTCAATGTACGCTATAAAAGAACGAAAAAAAGTGGTTTCTATCATGTCAAACTCTGTTTTGGAGGCCTTATATTTTCATGAAAAACGCTTTCACAATGTGATCGTGAAGGTCAGGATAGGAGAAGCCAGAGCTGGGGCAGATGAACATGCAGGGAGACAAAAATTCAGGTTCTTACACAACCCTACCGAATCCTCTTTAATGCGGCTTCAGAGCTGTGAGCTGCTCTTGGCTTTCCAAAAGCAGGCAACATATTGGTGAAAAAAAAAACCCATTACTAGCATTCACTTCAGTTAAAATAAATAAATATAATAGCAAGGATGGAGAGGGCATCGGAATCTCTGTAAATATAGCTGCAGATGAAACAAATGGTCATGGAGAATAAATTATTATTTCTCAGATGACATGCTGCAGCAAGCTTAGCTACTACAATGGAAGAATACTTTTTTTCCTTACCTTTCCTTCGGTTTCTTCACTGCAGCTATAGGTCTCTGGGAGCAGGTCTGTCTTCTCCTGTCTCAGGCTTGCTGAGAAGGAATGACTTCGGCGAGGCTGCAGTTTCGCGTGAGCTGGCTCTACCGGGTCAAGCTCTACGTCGCTCCAATTCTAATAAAAAATAGTGACAGATTTCAGAAATTTACACCTTTTCTCAAACTTTAAGTTCTCCAACTTGAGAAGAAGCCTTATGCTGTATGCTTAGAGACAACAGTCACTCTAACACATCTCACACTCCAAACTCTCGTGAGGAGAGACTTGATTTTTTATTTTCTCGCTTACCCTGGACTTCTTTCCTGAAGTAAACAAACAAACAAACAAACATACAAACTTTGAAAACAGATTAAATCATCTTTCATCATTTCAACAATAAGTTATTCGTCCTTCTTTTATCTCATTGCTTGTACTGTGATTACAATTGCTTAGCTGGTATCTGAAGACGGGCTCACATTATCTAAACAAATGCAGTCAATGTGCTTAACATGCTTTATGGCATTCCGTGTGACCCTTGGCTGGTCCAGAACCACGGACGCACGCACGTCTAAACTGCCACTTGTGTATGTCCCAGCTGGATGCTCAAACACCAAGGATTTCTTCAGTTCCACAGGCCCAGTTCTTCTCCAAAATATCATTCGTGTTTGTTAGGGGCCCTGAGCGGGCCCTGCATAAATTTACCAAAAACCACAACTGCAGTGGAGCAGAACAATGATTTTGTAGTCAGGCTGTTCCATTCATAGGGTTGGGCCATCCATCATACCTAACTTTGCTGTGCCTTCTTGATAGTGTCACTATGATGAAATTGGTCTACTATCTTCCACACCACCTTTTAGATAGCGATAGACAGACCGGTCTCCACACAAGTAGGAAGCTAGCACGTAATTCCACTGCGTTATCTTGCTCATAATACATACAGATATTGTTGCCTCAAATATATTGTCTCTCTGCAAAGACATATGCTCAGCACACAGCAAAGCAGCGGTGGGAACAGCTGCAGATTTTATGGTACTGATAGTGTCATTCCTGCCTATCAGTACATTATTGGAGCATTCCAAAATTTCACTCCGTGCCGTTGTCACGCGCTGGTTGTTGAGCTTAGCTTGAATTTCAGCAGCTGCTCTTTCAGCTGTAAACCATATAGCTGCACTGAGTTGTCACTGTAGGCACGATTACCTTTGGCACTGCCAGCTCGGCACAGAAGAGCCCTGCTCATAACGAATGGCAACTGTTTTGTCTGAGATCTTTAAGCAAAAGCTGAAGACTCTTATCTGCACCATCCCATCTCTTTAAACATCAGCCCCAACCGAACACACACAAACCGAGCAGTGATCAAAAGCAAAAAAAAATCAAATCAGGACATGTGTGACCAGTGGTCTGAACGTGTAAACCCACAGGTGCTCAGAACATTGTCACGTTAAGAGAAGTATGCCATCCATGCTGGTTTCCTGGTGGTCCTAGGTTCATTTCCAAATCAAGAATGCTGGTCTTCCACAAATCGTCCAACACTTACGATTTCTTTAAAATGTGGCACCCTGGTCTGACTCTCAGTGACAGCCTGACAGCCCCTTGGAAGCAGCAGCAGTTTGCAGGATGCAGCAGATAAATAGCTTCTTCCTCCTCACTCAGAAAGCTACCACTTGGCTCAGAAGAAGAGCCTGCAGCTTGCTGCTCAGCCCGTCGTGGGAATTTATACCTTTGTAGAAGGTTACAAGCCTCTCACGAGACCTGCTTCCCATTTAATTCTGTTTGGTCAGAAAAGTGATAAACGCCTCACGCAGAGATTCTTTTCTCCTGAACTGTAACTTGCATGCCATGTTACCTCTGTCCCGTGACTTTTTCCTGCCAAATGCCCACGCACTGTAGGTAGCTATACTCAGCCAGTCCACCAGCTTTACCAAGACTTAAGGTACAGTGTTTGCAGAACACTGCAGCTGGTTCCAGGTGCAGAAGGCTTTCAGTCCTCCTGGTGAAGAAAAACCTAAACCTAAAAGCTTACTACAGAAAGTGGACTTCCTGCAAAACAATAGGACACTGTTGGATAGGTGAGAAATCTTTGCTGGGAGGTGATTTTCCTGCTCTCCTCCTCCCAGAGCCACCTGATTAGAAGGCAACTAGTTGGTGACTTGGAGGTGCCTGACAATGGCTCTTTTTAATTAGCCCTGAGCTCAAACATCCATGCTACAAGTAAGCATCTGAATTGCTCAGATAGGCCAGCTTCTACGTTTGTCCTGATCAAAACTCGTCACGCTTGAATTCCCACCAAAGTTCGGGAGAAATTGCCTCACATATCCAAAACAATTTAGCTAGAACAATCCTCTTTTCCATACTTTAATTTTAATAGCAATTTATTCTGGGAGTTGGAGAGATACTATACTCCCTTTGCTTGATGGAAACAAGAAAAACTTACAGCTTCTCCAGTGGAAACTGATGAAACACAAGCGTTCTTGGTCCTTCCGGCAAGAGACTGGTGGCTGGAGAGAGAGGTCCTGAATGATGATTCATTTATGGACCCCCTCAGGAGATCATTCTTTGATACTCGTATTAGGAACCTCAGGCAGGGAACAGCATTGTGGATGGTTTTCCTGAAGGAAAATGGGTGAAGAGAAAGACAAACTATGTAACAATACACCGATGAATGGATTTGAAAATCATGCAATGACGGCACTTAATCACACATGGAAATAACGCGGTACAGCTAGTGGAAAGGACTCAACTGAAAGTCCAAAAGGAAAACAGCAGTTGGTTTCAGGGCCTTCTATCAAAACGCTCGTGGAAGAGCTGCGCAGATGGGTAGTAAGAACTGAAACTAGCTTGGAAAACACCATCGCTTCCAACTTATTTGAAAGATTAACTCAGAAAAATTTCAAGCTGCCTTAGACAAAAGTCTGTGTGCTAAAGCAGATGAGAAGTGAAAAAGTAGAAGAGTAGAAGAGCGTAGGGGTCCTGGTGGCCAGGTGTGATCTTATGGCCAAAAAGACCAATGCTAACCTAGGATACATTAAAACGAGCCTGGCCAGCAGCAGGTCAAAGGAGATTATCCATCGAGGAGGCCCAGAGACAGAACAAGGGGCAAAGAGGAAATCCTTTGAAATTCTTTACTGTGAGGGTATCAGACTTCGTTCTCTGCCTGTGCCACGGTAGCTCCGATAAACTCCTGTCAGAAGTCAACACCTCATTCTGCTTTACTCATGCCTAGTGAAGAAGCATGACCAAAGCTCCAAATAGCAAAAATCTGGTTTATTCAGTAAACAATGTCTAGAGTAAAGGTTATACAGCTACATCCCTCCCAACCTTGCATGAAGCAGAGAAGCCACAGTTTTCCCTACACAGTGCCAGCTGACCGAGTTTCTCACCGCTTCCAAGGACGTGGAAGGACGCAGGGTGATGCCAGCCAGAGTGCTGCCTTTGGTGCAACACCTCTACAGTGCCACCTAATCCGTCATATCAGACCAGGAGATGAAGCTAATACAGAATATACCTGAACGAGTTAAGAAGATAGGTGTAGGGAAAATAACAGATGCATAGGACATATTTCAATGGGAAATGTATAACGTATCGGCTCTACACTGAGGCATAAGACAAGATGTTGTATAATCTTGATTCTGACAAACATTTTACCAGCTGAGCTGTTGGCAAAGTCATTTCTGTTTTAAAGCTGCTCTCTTGATTCATCACAAGGGAGGCAACATCACTCCTTTTTCTGACTGAATGACACCCACGTCTATAAAACATCTCCACAGTATCTGCGTAAACACTTCTGTTATTGATATGCCTTGAAATATAAAATAGGAAGTAGGAGGAAAAAAAGGGGAGGATTTTGAGAGAGTCTCTGAAACGCCGTGCTGGCACTAGCCTTTTTCTTAATACAGCTATACATGGATAAAAGTCAACACTGGCAGGAAAAAGACTAACTGAAGCACTTCACTGAACAGTATCTGATCTGAAAACACATGTAAAACTAAAGTGAAGAATCACTGAATGCAATATCTTTTTGGTCAGAACAATAATACCAGGCTTAGAATATGACAGCCATCCATGCATTTCTTCTCACTACGCTTCTGCGGCACACTGAATACTAGTCATTCTCTTATTCTAAGCTCAAATATGAAACAACTTTCTAAAACTAAGATAGACTCTGTTGTCTTGGAGGACGCAAATGTCTTAGTTACGATAGTAGGTATTTCAAACAAACGCTCCTGGACTTATTTCCGTCAGCCTCGTAGAAAGGTTTACAACACACCTTCATTTGTCGGACATTCAAAACAACAGACTCTCTGCTCTACAGCTCCGCGATCAGTTTCGGGCAGCGTACAGACGACCCGCCATGCCACCTAGTGGCCTTCCTACCTTTATCACCACGGATTCCTTCCTTTCGAGATTAATCGCTGCCTTTCGCAGAACATACGCTTTGAAGGAAGCGCAGGAAAATCTAGTGACATACTGAATAGCGGTTCTTGTTCATTCATTTTTAAAAACACTTTGTCTCCTGTGGAGTTGTACACATACCTATATGCTTACTGTACCTGTATCTTGGGTGAATTATTGCGTATATGATGGGGTTGTAGATTGCAGAGGCTTTAGCAATAACGGCTGGCACAGATTTGGAATACGGCGTCAGAGTGTTTCCTCGGCTATAAAAAAGGAAAACTCATTACGCTAGAGCTATGTCATTAACGTTAAACCACTGAAACCTGTTCTGTTTAACCGTTTTTGTTTTGAGGTCTCATGATAACAAACGCTGCTAAGAAGTTAAATTTGTTCGAACACGCTCTGCTCGGATCAAAGGCTTGGTTTTGACAGTGCGTACTTGGTTTCATTTATTTGGAAAGAATGACAGACATGCAAATAGAATCAATTATCGATTTGAGACTGACCAAGAACACTGCTGGTTCCTGTTCAGATCAGCATCGACCAGCACCCCCCAGGACTGTTTCTTCTACACAGTCTGCCAGCCACTCTGCCCCAAGCCTGTAGTGGTGCCTGCCGTTGTTGTGGCCAAAGTACAGGACCCGCCTCTAGGTCCTATTGAACTTCATCCCGCTGGCCTCAGCCCAGCAATCCAGCTTGCCCAGAACCCTCTGTAGGTCCTCCCTATCCCCAGGCAGATCGATGCTTCCCCCCAGCTTAGTGTCATCTCCAAACTTACTGGGAGTGCACTCAGTGCCTTCATCCAGATCATCAACAAAGATATTGAACAGGACAGGCCCCCAGTACCAACCCCTGGGGAACTAAGTTATGGCTCTGAGGGACGCGGTGCAGTGATGGGGCTCTGTGGGACATGTTGATGGATGGACTTGAAGATCTTGGAAGGTCTTTTCCAACCTAATATGATTCTACAATTCCGTGAAGGGCACAGAGTCACCACTAATTACCAATCATTTAAAACCCTTCCAAAAGACAACACTAATCATGTTTATGTTTTGGTATAAGTACTCTTTGGATTATGTTTTCACTTACCCTGCCCAGGCAATCAAAGTGACGCAAGCATATGGAGACCAGGATAAGACATACACAATGATGACCACAAATGCAATTTTTGCCAGTTTCCATTCATTCTTCATGGACTGAGAGAGGAAGGATTTGCGGCTGCAGGACCCAAGCTTTTGGACATCTCTATTAAGGGAAAAAAAAATACAGATATACAAAGTAAGAGAATGAAGGAGCAAAGTTCAATGTCTTTAGAACATTCTCAGTGGCGCACAATAACAAAGCAGACTTCATTTTTCCTGCTCTCGCTCTTCCTTTGTCCTCTGATAGCTACAAATCTAGAAGGTAATTCATGCTGTACAATATTCCCAGACATTTTGCTCAGGCTCGGTCTGACAGTGGGATCGAAGCAGAGGGACCATTGGGACTACAGAACAGGACTGCCAAATCTTTACCCTGACGTACAGAGGATAAAGAATTGCGTATCCCCTGACCTTCATTGTACTCAGAGATGGAGCAAGCAAAAGCACAACTTTGAGCAAAAATCCAATGAACAAATTAAGGGAAACAACTGGACGAAATGAAATGTCTTTGTAGATCTAGTAACCTGCTGAATTTTCTCTTCATCTCTACAAATATGGACTAAAACTGTCAGAGGGGAAAAGAAAACAAAAACCCCAAAACAACAAACATGCTTGAACCATGAGGTTTTTGGGATACTCGCTTGAACAATGAGGTTTGTGGGATACTTGCTTTAAATAAAGCTGTCAAAAAATACAAGGACTGTTATGTTCACAGAGCAGCTCACAGGCAGATGATGGTCCCATTATTACACAGTATTTATTGCCTCTCAGAGCTGAAAATCTTTCTGTAATACACAAGCATCCCATTCCTCATATCGCAAATCTGAAAGAAATAATCGGAACTATCAAATTATCTGAAGTATTATTATTTAACACACTTTGGGCTCAGATTACAACAATCTGGGACTACTTTGTCTCCTACTCCAAAATGCAAACAATCCTTCCCAGTTTTCACGTTGGCAGAAATATTTCTCTAGTTACAGCAGTTAATGACCACACGCTTTATTTCTGCTTTCGATGGAGATTAATTTTAGATTTATCTGCAGATAAAGATTTTGAGAAATTGCTCTAAATCAATGAAAAACTAGTTTCACATATTTTGGTTACACTGCTTACCTGCCAGTACTTCTTATGGCCAAGAACATAAATAAATAGCAATGGAATATTATTATCAGTGGAATAAAAAATACGCAGCAGCATAAAATCATGGTGTAACTTCTGTTTGCAGGGGAGTATGTTACATAGTCCCATGTACAGGATATCATCAAGCCCTCAGGCACGTAGGAACCTATGAAATACATGGAATACGTTATTTGCACAGATGACCAAAACTTGCACAGTTACCAATCTAACAACAGAGTGATTAAAACAAATGCCATGCTGCACGGATAGCCTTTGAGAGACGTGTCAGCTGCGTTATACTCAAGTGCACACATGGAGAGGAGGTCCTGATTGCTGACTATCATACGCACCTAACACCCAATCTGCAACTTAGTCACCTTGAACACAACCCAGGGCAAAACAAACGACCCAGGGTACTGCGCTGTCGTAGGCACAGATAATACTATATGACCATAAACCATCAGGCAGTAGCCATGCATCCATTCAGAAATTTCCCTAATCGTCATTTTTTCATACCCTGAACAAGGCAAAAGTAGACTGCACTGAGAATGCTGGAAGAAAGAGCGAGCAGACAACATACTCCACCCAAGGAGTGGGGCCACGCTCCACCCCAGCGAGTACAGCCACACAGCGGCAATGATCTGCACGGTGCGCTTCTTGGAGGTCCACTGGATGGAGCGCAGGGGCTTGGTGATCACCAAGTAGCGGTCAACAGAAATAGCTAGCAGAGTCATCATCGAGGTTATTCCAAAGAGCGCCCCACAGAAAGCGTACAAGTCACAACCTGAAGCAGAAAATAGCAATGTCAGGGTTTTGTTTGTTGTTGTTGTTGTTTTTTCTTAAACATGTGTTTGTTTTCTCTCACAGCCTGATCTTACAAATTCCCACGCACAGCTTTTGTCTTTGCGTCTCCTCTTTAAAAGAAACAAAAAATCAGAAATCCAGCCCAGGGCTATTCTCCCATTAGAATAATGGGATTATTCTTAGCCTTGCAATTGCATAATTAAATGTTCATTCGTAACAGTGCACATGCAAATAAAAGACAAAGAAACATATGTATAAACAAGTCCTACTCTCCACCGTGGACTGTCGCTGGAAACATGTCAATGGAAAACTGCCTCAAAGAAAATCCAATCTAATTAGGGTTACATTTTCCTGGACTGTTGCCCAATATATTGATCTTAACAGGGGGCAGCAGATATCTACATACTAATGACAAATGGATACCTCAAAAAATGTTGCAGCCTAGGATACTATTGGCCTTCCATTCTGCAAGTGGATGCTGCAAGCTTTTAGTCTACCAGAACTCAGCAGTTCCGGTTCTTAGACCAGAGTTCTTCTCCACAGGGCTGCTCTCAGTGAATTCTTCTCCCAGTCTGAACACATACTGGAATGGACCCAACCGAAGGGCTATACTTCGTTCTTGGTGTTGTTGAACCTCAGTAGGTTCCCAGATGCAGTCCTCAAGCCTGTCTGTTGTATCAATTGCACCGCTCAGCTTAGTGCTGTAGCAAACCTGTTGAGGGTGCACTGGATCTCTATGCCTATGTCATTAAAAAAGGTGTTGAAGACCAGCAGTCCCAAGATGAACCCCTGGAAGACGCCAATTATGACTGGCCTCCACCTGGACGTGAAGCTCTTGGCCGCAACCTGCAACTGTCCAGACAGTTCTTTGTCCACTGTACAGTCCTTCCAAATCACTACATTTCCGTAATTAAATGTGTGATCCTAGGAACACATTAATTGATACCAATGTACTTTTCTAAATATTAACTCCTTCTTAAACTAATAAGAATACTTATAATTAAAAGAAAACTTTCTTATCCATCTTTAGCCATGACATTCGCCCTCAGAAGCTAAATGGCCATCATTACATGTTGTTGACTTTTTTTTGTAAGCTGACACGGAGAAATAGATTGTTACACAAAACATGTCATCACATGGATAGATCATGTCAAAAACCTAGGCTGTAATTCCAGAGTTCTGAGATGCTGTCTCCATTCCATGAGCCAATATTACTAGCGCTAAAATACATTAAAGACAGTAGAGCTAGTGAAAGATAAAGTGGTCTCAGAAAGTACCTATATCTCCGAGGATCCACTCTCTGTGCAAGCTGTTGATAAAGCATACGGGGGCCTGAGAAGCTGACATCAAGAAGTCGCTCACAGCCAAGTTCATTATAAAGAAGTTCTGGGGTGTCCTCAACTTCTTGTTGCTTAAGAACAGATGAGAAATGCATCGCTTGAAATAGGCCAAATGAACAAACAGCCATCTTAATTGTTTCACTTACTAGCATAAACGGTCTCCAGGTGGCAATGAGCAGTTATTCTCATTCAGTGAATTGCCAACCATCAATCAATTACCACAGCAAAAAATGCATTGTTTCAAAATGATGACTAACAAAGGCAGGGAAGGATAAAAGAAGTCCTTTCTCTTCAACAGAGGAAGAATTTCATCTATCCTTAAACACATGATTTTGCTCAAGAGAAGAGCAATCTGCCTCTTTCCTTGATTCCCTGTATAAGCACCAACAAGCGTGTGCCACCCAGGGCAAGATTAGTCTCTGACGTTGAAAACTGTGCTTCAGGTAACCTGTAGTTTTGATCCCCTAGGAGTCCTTCAGCTGGCATTTGAGACTGCCCTTATCTCTAGCTAAGGGGAATACAAACACTGTTAACATAATAAAGAACCCCTCTCTTCCGCTTTGCGTTTTCTGTTTGAAGTGCTTCTTTCCGCTGATTAAAAAGTACAATAAATTAACTCATGAATTTGTCTTTCCTCTACCTCACAGCTGGCACTTCTGATGGATATGCTGAGAAGGTGTAATGCTGAACTGCTAGCCCTCAAAGTGAAACGCTGTTTTGGTTGCGCAGCTAAATTAAGAACTTTGACACCTAGAACTTGAATTCAGGAAGACAGAATACAGAAAGAGCTGACTACTCATTTTCTTCTAGATAAAGGCAACAAACAGGCTTTTATAAATAACTTAGTTCTCGAAAACTGCATGGAGCAATTTTAAATGGCTTGAAATAAATTTCCAGAGTGCTTCATTCAGTCTATCAATTGAAGCCACTCTGATGTGCTCTCTGTGTGATATTGTATAGTAATATTTGCAACTAATGTGAATGCCTTTCTTCCTATTAACAAATAGCAATGCTGGAATTTCCAGCATCGTAACATGGACTAGAATGTGGCTTTTCTTTTTTTTTTTTTGTGAGATTTTTGCGTACTCTAGATGCAGTAGCTTCAACCATCTATGACACTGTCAGAATCCCAGAAAGCGTACAAGCTGACAGAAATCCTATGATCTGCCTGAAGCAGGGAACACGCTGATGGCATGAGCTGATGGCATTAGGGTAGCACATTGCTTCCATGGTTTTTCTAAGATAAACTGGGCTGATGGGAACCTCATTCTTAGTTATTGTCAGCAAAATCTACAAAGGGAGTGAAGAAGTTTGCAACAGAGGGGCTGATGTTTCTATTATCAAAATTATTAAACATTTCCTTACATTTTGCTTGGAATTATTACTAAGTCAAGGCTCTATGTGCTTTTTTTCCCCAACTTTTTTGTAGAATCCCCAAAACACAAGGAATTTACACAGGAGCACATTGGTGACGTGCATGGATGTATACGAGGTGTATGCATCTGATATAAACAGCTTTTTCTTGAAGTTCTAACTCAAGAAGAAATCCATGCATAATATCTTCACAGAGATGCATACAAACTAGAAGGCAAGCTGAGAAAGGAAAGAAATCTGGGTACCTGTAGAAAGCGTAGAGAACTAGGAGGTTTCCTATGATGCCGATGGAGCCGATCACAAGAACGCACGTCCCTATCGTGTAAAGAACATGGTCTGGGACCTCTGACTTGGTCACAGAGTGTGGCTGGGTGCCCGCTTTCACATCCTGGATGGAAAACAAAGGAAAGGAGAACTGAGAACATTCAGTACACGCATTCCTGGAAACACTTGCTTAGCATGTTGAACACACACGCACACACTTCTGTGTGTGTTAATCAAATTAAAATCAAGTTTCTCTCAGGTATCCTTCATTACATTTTTAAACCTGAGAGGAAACTCACAAAAGAACAACTGACTTACCATAATGTAAACACCGGGAAATCGTCATGGGAAAGGCAGGAGATCAGAGGAACGACACAGCAGCAATAGCAATACCTCTGCAAGTACAAATAAATTAGCTAGTCTCGACAACCATTTCACTGTCCTTTAACACCAACGCGTGAAGGAAAAAAAAGAAACAAACAACAAACACAGCTAACAGCCTATGTATTTTTTGAAACCAATTCAACCAACCACTGGCTAAATGAAGTAACAGAGCAGCCTACGGCAAATCCACTCCGCTCTCATCAGCATCATTGATGAGCAGATGCTGAATCATTAGCCTGATGGCAACTCATATTTACCAAGGCAGGTAAACAACCTTCTAGATGACAAATGCTGCTTATCTAAATATATTGAAGGGGCTGCTTGGAAATGATGACAGCAGCTTTTTCTCTGCAGTTGCTGGCTCCTAAAATTTCTCACACCGCTTTTTATTCTTTCTGCTACTTCCTCACTTACCTATGAGGTGCACATATAACAGTTTCTTCTTTGCACAAAAGCACTCTTCTAGCCATAGGCGTTACCACGATAACTGTGTGATGCTACTGATGTGCTCCTGGGGGCACCCTGCTTTCAGCAATAAGGAGTGAAGCGCATAGCACATGTTAAACATCCATAAAATAGTAGCTCCGGAGTAGAAACAGTGGGAACAAAGCCCATGGGACTAAAACAGTATCTTAAAAAGTACAAAAGCTACGGCTGCAAAGCTGAAAGCAGAATTCAAGATCTCTGCGTGGTCTGCTAGATTCTACCCATAAAAGGACAGCCTCCTACAAAGTGGCACTGCACCAAAGATAGCATTCATGTAGGAGAAGAAACTAATGAAAGGGATCATCTTCTGATTCTGACTGCAGTGGTAGGTCTTAGCCATTCCCAGCAGTCCAGCAGCTAGAAAAATCATTTCTCTGTGTTGCTTTCACTCTTAAAATGAGGTGTGAGACCTAGCACCGTTAGGAAAAGTGGTTCGGTGGAAAAACGTAATAGTGATGTTCAGTGACACCAAGAACAATTGGGTCCGGGCTTTCAGAGCTGAGTAGCCTGAGTCATTTCAGGGCTGAAAAACATCTGTGACAAACATCTACAGAAACATCTGTGACAAACTCCACTCTTCTTCCCTCAAACCTCATCTCCTTAACAATGGGTGCATTGAATCAGAACCCTGCCTTATTCGTGGCAGCGTGCACCGAAGAGGCTAAATCATGCGAGAAAGCGCGACTTCTCTTTTTTCTTCCTTTTCCTGTGATCTAATAACGATGCTCAGGATTTAACCCTATGCAGAAGGATATGATGCAGAAGGGTAGGATACAGAATGATATGCTTCAGAGCAAGTAGAACTTGCCTGTCATACACATTAAGCTTTACTTCGGCGTACTGGGAATGCACTGATACGGAAATTCACTTGAGAAACACCCAAAGGGAGCCCTCCTTTTCTTTCTGCCTAGAGAACCAACTTGGATGCTTTGACTCCCTTTATTTCATTATCATGATGAGCTCTGTCAGAAGCTGGAAAGCAGCATAATTTGTAAACTCTGCTAATAGTTTGTAAACTCTTGATGACAAGACAAAATGTGAACTACCGAAGCTTACAGATTGGAATCTGGAAGGCAGTAAATACTGGAGGTAACTCAAAATCTGAGATCTCAGTAAGCCTTAAGGGGAGGCATTGTTTAGGTAAACACAAGCTTTGGAGAAGTTACCCTGCCTACAGAAAAGTCTCTACGACGCCACAGCTGCTTTTTATTTTTATTTTTTAAGTTTGTTAACCTCAGTGATAGCAACACTGAATGAGAAGAGGACTACTAATTCAATCTGTCAGTGCTGCCCTGATGTAGCAGCACAAAGCATGCATCCAGCTGTATGGGGAGATGAAAAGGGAAAACCATTTATAACACTGGAATACAAATCTAACAAGATAGATGTACTGATATATATGCACATATACTTTTTCTCAACAGTAATTTCATCACACTAGTGAAAATCCCCTAAATAAAAGAGGCAAAAATGATTCAAATGATCCCAAAGCTAATCACATATTTCACTGATTTGGCGTAATCCCACAAAATAAAATGTTAAGAATAACTATTCAAACACATGTAAGTCTGAGAATTTAAACTGTACTTTGCTCAACAAACATTCCTTTTCTAATATAAATCCCTTCTCAATACAGAATAAATAAACAGGAGGAAAACAAAAGCATCATCAAGGATTTAGGATATCTAAATAGAAGCTTTTTCTCTTTTCCCACGACACCATCTCTGACATACACGTTAATTTTGATTAACAAGCTATATAATTCCCACGTAAATATTTACTATATGAAGATTAGGACTACAAATACATTTCAAAAACAAAAAAATTGAGGCCCTGGTGATGTGCTGTAATGAGAAGCTGATTTTATTATTACTACTCTGTATGTTTTTTTTTTTTGACAATTTTAATTTCTCATGAAAAATAAGAATAAAATTAAACAACAACAGAATTTTTCAAATTTCTTCCACTTCAACACCAAGAAAAAAGAATGTAACTGCTACAATTTTTTCCAGATGACTCAGTAACCAGAACAGCAACTAAGCACAATAGGTCATATTCAGTGCAATCATCATTGTAGTCTTACCAGGTTTAGTTTATATTAGCCTCTTTTAGCAGGAAAATGTATAAGCTCTGCTTTAATTCAGTCTGTGTATTTTCATGTCACAAGCAGTGAACTTAGACCTCCTGAGCATGCAGTTGAGAAGCCTGCAAAATTACAGAGCTTAAAGACACGGTGCAGGAAGTTCTCCTCAGCTTTGGCTTTTTGCACTGCTGAGAATATACAAGGCTGCTCTTGACTCAGCACAACTAGTCAGATAAATTGTGTTTAATGGAAACTCTGTACTGCCATGGTCACGTGAAGTAGGGTGAATAGTCTGTTTTGTATAAGCCAATCTGGCTCATTCTCTGTAATGGCACGGTTGAAAAGATAATGAAGGAACACTTGATATTTTGCTCAGCCAATATATTGAATCCTTAATGGGTGATACAAGTTTTCAAGAGTTCACGTAAAACGCTCTCACCTATTCATTTATCTCCTAGGTTGGCTTTTCTTTCTCCTTTTGGTAACTTGAGAAGAAGCGCAAGGGCTGTGATAAAAACACAACCGTTTCATGAGTGTAGATCTTAGAGACAATGTCCATAGTGATCTGATCACCCCACTCAGAAGCAGAAATGTAAACAAGCAATCTGAAAAATGCCAGTAATTGCACTAGGGACAGCTTCTGGCACTCTTGCCTGCTCTGCGTTGACTTTCTTTGGCTTGTTCTAAGTTAATTTTACAATCGCTTGCATTTTGATCGTTCGAAACATTGGACCTGACAACTCGCATCAGTCACAATGAGGTCGTACCCTTATGTGAGATGAGACTGTGACGTCAAAAAGCTGTCACCTCCGTAGCTGCTGGGAGGCCTTTCTTGGAAGGGCAACTAACAGCTCTGCAAGCAAATGAAAGATAAAAAAATTAACAGCTGTCCCTCAAGTAGCTGGCAAAAGAAGGAGGCATCAGAAAAATAAACTTGGTCTCTTTCACCAAAAAATAAAAATGGAAGACTTAACAGATGGGGAATGTTATTCCATAAGAGATATTTAAATTTGATTTTTAGTGATTAAATAATGCCTAAGTAATTAGAGCCATCTGTTTCTGCTTGCCAGCTGGTGAGATTAACAAAGATTGCAATGCAGAAAGCAAAAAAAAAAAAAAAAAAAGATTAAAATGGAAAGGGGAGGGATGGTCTCAATCAACAGGTAAGAAATAACTGATTAAATCCAGAAACGGTGATGTGATCTGTGTTACATGGATACAACAGTATCTAAAGCCTTACTTGTGCTCTGATCTTGATCACTGAAGCAAGCTCATCTCGTGGAGGTGATTTACACTGAAATGAGCTTAAGTACAGGCTCACTTACATAGAGGATTAATGTGAACTATCAAGAAAGTGAATTAACAGCAGAGCGCCTTCTCTGTGCTCACACACTACACAGGCTCCTAAAGAAGACTTTAATTTTACTAAACAAGAAGTCCTTACATTCATACAATCACAGCTTGAAAATTTAAAGGAAAACAACAAATAATGTTCAGGTGTAACAGGACGGGAGCAATCAACACATTAGCCTGCATTTCCTGTACAGACAGCTCATGCAATCGAAGCAGCCACCAGGTAACAGTCGCCAAGTTGCTTGTAATTCACTGAGGGTCACGGGAAGATGTTGACTCATTAAGAAGTACCATCTGGTTTGAAACGACAACAAAATGTGGGGCTTAATGACTATCTTGTATGCATGAAATCTTGAATCAACAAATAGAAGACGGTTGCTAGCTGGTAACAATAGCTGAGCAAGTAATGGTCAGATACTTCATGAATAATAAGCAATTATGGAAAATACTGTTAGTTATTTCAGGTATTAAAAAAATAAAAGCAAAACAACTTGGCTTGTTTTGGTTGACTGTAGTATAAACGCAGAGTAAGTAGAAATTAACTTGACCTGCAGAGAGTCAAAACAGTGATCATCCACAAATGGAAAAGTTAGTTTTCCTATGGGTCTCCAGGTGACACTCTTCTTCCACAGTTCATTCCAATCAGTTCATACCAGGAGCACTCCAGCACACATTTACAGTGCAGATTGAAATGACAGTTAGCTTAGTAAGCTGAACTGTGATGCAGCTCATCCAAAGGCAACAGACAAGGAGAGGAACTGCCAGAGCTCCTCACAACAGGTCAACTATCAGAGGCAGTTGAGCATTGCGGGCCAGATACAGGCTAGTACTCATTCAGATAGATATCATTAGTTTACATGGTGCTTGCCTTGCAGACGCATACAGTGCAAAACAGAGATGATGCCAAGGAGGGGGAGAAGGGCAAAAAAAGGGGACACAAAATTGGGGGAGAAGAGAAAGAAGGAACAACTGCAGTCTGAGTATTTTTCTTGAAGATTGAAGTTGTATGTGGGTATGCAATTATCCATCAAGATTTGTTGGAATATCCAAGGAGAATTTTTTTTTCCCTAAAAATCCGGTGTCAGCTCATTTGTTATATTAGGGGGAAAGAAAAAAAAAAACAAAAAAAAAAAACTGGGTATTTTTGCTGCAGGAGAATTTGTGTCTGACTAATGCCATTGTAGAATGTATTTCTGGGCTGTTACTGAACTGGACAGACAGCTGAGAAAACACATTTCTTACTTGACTCCAAGGCTCATTTGGGAAAATTCAGTGCTGTGTCATCAGAATAATTCAGTGCAGAAGTGCCAGCCTGGGGCGAAATGAAAAGGACCAAAGGCACGTCTGTGTGCCTTAAATATTGGGTATTTACAGAGATGGAAATAATGCCAACTGTCTCCTTGGGATGAGATCCCATTAGTTTGTCTAGATGGCCTCAAGGTCACATATTTAGAAAGATGCTTTTTTTCCAGGTCCTAGCTATCTGTACTTTAACTTCTTGTACTTGCAACCCATCAAACAACATTCATGTGAGGCATTAGGAAAAAAACAAAACAAGAAAATCCAAAAGAAAGCAACTTAGTTTTTGCTGATTTTATAGTATTTGTAAGTTGTCAGTATCTTGAGAATAAACCTATTAGTTGCTCATCAAGGTAGGCACACTCGTGCGTCTGGATATCCTTTGAGCCTTTGAGTCAAAAAAACAAGTAAATAGAAGCCCACCCCAGGAAGCTGTTAATACCCAACTGAGCTGGGGCTCAGTCCACCTTCCCCTTCTCACCTCTTGCATGCTCGTACGCTCCTTTGTCCTGGAGAGTCCCACCACATTATTCCCTTGGTCATAAATCCCTTCTGAATGATCAGATGCGTGCTCAAATACAACCCAAACACCAGCACAAACTTCGCCTGCCTAGGGAGGTAGCACAATTTTGATGCAGCACCAGCACTGATTATCTGAACTATCACATCTCAGTGCATATTTGTTTCGTCCATGAGGGAACAGGTTACTGCTAAACACAGGAGAATGAAGCAAAAATTACTGAGTATGTTGTTCTAGCTAGAAAACATTTTAAAAAGCATATGCTGTTAAACTGTGATGATGACTTTTGCAGTCTTTGGGGAAAAATCATTTATGCACCATAGCAGTGGCATGTAAGCGTGATGCCCACACCTTGCTACTTTTATCGTGAGCATGGTGAGGACTGTTACTGCTTTTCCATGAGTAACTACATTTTGAAATTCTGATCTTTGTCATAACAACTTGGCCTGTTGCGTCAGAGAGTTTCAAGTAGCCAAAGTATGCATTCAAAACTATCTAGTTGTATTTTATTTGAGAAAATTATATATATTCCTTACTTTTGACAACCCAGAGAGGGAATCCTTCACCAGCCACCTCTGGTCTTACCCATTGTCTCTTACATCAGAAGTCTTTTCACTGCACTGCTTCGTTTCTGAAGGAGACCTGCACAGATGCGGCCCAAGGGTCTGCATGCAAGAACTGCTTTGCAAATCGTGTCCTGCAACTTACAGGAGATCCCATGGAAGCATTTGCTTATCTTTATGCTTTCTGCAATAAACAAAGAAAGAAAAAAAAAAAAACCAAAAAACTAATAATAACTTTTAGAAGAAGT